TCCAGGAACGCCAACCTGCCATCTTTTACATCCTCTCGTGTCAACTTTATATATTTATCCACAGAGTTGATCAGTGAAATGTTGGCTTACTGGGATTTAATTTTAACCTAGGTGTCATCAACATACCTGAACCAATGGCTTGGTGGTGTCCCTGTAAAAGACATCAGAGCTCTCTTTTCCACCTCCTCCATGTACAGGTTTGCAACAAAAGGAGAAACTGGGGAGCCCATAGCACACAAATGTTTCTGCCTATAGTATTGCCTCCCATATGTGAAATAGGTTGATTCCAGGCGCAGTTTCAGAAGTTGACACAGTTGTTCTGTGGAAAGTGTGGTTCTGCTGCTAAGAGTGGTGTCTGATTTTAATCTCACACAGACCACATCCACCGCCTTATCAACAGGGACGCATGTAAAGAGTGATGTGACATCAAAGGAGACCATAGTTTCATCCGCCTCCATGATGAATAAGGCTGAGTTCACCTGAAACTCTCAGACTGAACAAGTCTCTTGGAGGAGAGACGAAACGTTTCACTAAAGAAGAGCCCATCCAGAGGAACTACTTATTGTTTCTTTTTGATCACTGTTGCTAATTTTCTTATTACATCCTACATTTATTTTCAATCATAAAGGGATTAAAAAAGGTCATTTTAATTTGATGAAGCTTAACTTCAGCTTTGGGGCCTCCTGCTGGTTTCTGGGGACATTTTATTTTTTTTAAAGTTGATAAGTGCATGCAGAACAAAACAAATAATGTCTTCACTTAGCTCTCTAATCTAAAACACCACATATTAAAGARCTCAGTGAAGCCTGTCTTCTTGCTCAGAGGATATTGTTAAACTCCAACGGGAAGTAAAACACCTTCAAACCAAGGTTACAATTGTTTTGGATTTTTTCATTATAGTTTAGTTTTATTTTGTTTTGACTTTTTTCTTTTAATCCAGTTAGTTTTAATTAGTTTTTACAGTAGATTTGGTAGTTTTTATTAGTTATTATTGCATTTTTAATGCTTA